GAAAGTTCAAAAGAACAGCATTTATTTGAAATAGAAATCTTTTCTGTTACCTTTGATCATTGTAGCCTCTGTGCCACATTTGCAGTGCAATTAGAAATAGTTAACCACATTTTTTAATGCAGAAGTAGCATAAAAGTATCTAAAGGATAACGTTGCTTTAAAAAATGGTACAATATAATTTGTTTTCATTTAGGAGTAATGCAGTAATGAAACAGTTCTCTGCACTGCAGTCTCATTCTGTGCATCTTTCTTTCATAAAGGGAGTTGTGCGGATTCACCTGCTGGAGGCTGATGGTCTGGCTTCGAAGGATAACTATGTGAAGGGTGTGATGGTGAGCATGTCTGACCCATACGCCCTGCTCAGAGTCGGGCCGCAAACCTTCAAATCCCGCCATCTGGACAACACACTCAATCCCAAATGGGATGAAATGTATGAGGTGGGTGTTAAAGTGACACCACATTATAATAACAACAAAAAAGCAATAAGCCATTTATTATTATAATATCAATGTGTGATGTAAATGTGATAAACATCGTAATATCATATGTATCTGTCTTTCAGTTCAAATGTAGAACCATTTACGCTACATTTTGTCATTGATTACCCATGCTGTTACTGTAGGTGTGTGTTTAGTGTTTCATGCATGCGTGTGTGTCCGTCAGGTCATCGCTCATGAGGTGCCTGGTCAGGAGCTAGAGGTGGAAGTGTTTGATAAAGATCCTGATCATGATGATTTCCTGGGCAGGTACCATATCACCGCATTTCTTCTCTGTCCATCCATCTCTCATTTATTCTTTAAAATGTGTTTTTTGCTGTTTGCTGATATTACACTATTCTTATCCTTGCGTTGATTCTCTTTATTCCACTTGTGCTCAGGACAAAATTAGATTTGGGGATTGTGAAGAAATCTAAAATAGTGGATGAGGTGAGAACCTTAATTAATATTCCTGTGTGTGTGTGTGTGCGTGCGTGCGTGCGTGCGTGCATGCGTGTGTGTGTGGTTAACTTTGTTTGGTTTGCAAATCCTTACATAACTTTCACCACAAGACATGAAGTCTACATTGAAGAACCAGTTTGTTATAAACCATTCAAATATGTAAACCATGTTTTGTATATTGCAGTTATTTTTATGAATGTAATTATCACATGGATGAATGCTTGATTCTGATTGGTCCATCATGGCATTCTCCAGTCAAATATTTTAAAGATGAGGAACTTTCATTTACTGCTTTTCAAATCTCTTGCAGTGTTATAAATAACTAAAACAAAAATTACTTGTTTTCAATTGATAAATTGAATATTGAAAATCGATAAAAAGCTGAGATATAAGCTGAAAGATAACATTGAAATATTAGCTGAAAAACTTAAAAATGTTTGCCATGGTAACTAACTAAAATAAGGTTAAGTACTTGTATTACAAAGAATAAATCTGAAATAAAAGTAATTATAAAATAATTCATTATAAGTAATTATAAAAATATATATAAAAAAATACAAAATTACGAAAACTTATGAAAACTAAAAAAAAAAAAAAAACTAAGTATAAAAATAAATCATAAATACTAAGCACTGATCTATGTCCACTTTTCTTGCATAATAAAATCATTTCATCTGAAATATTTAAAGTGCATTTTATTTATTTATTTGGTAAGTAACGGTGTAATAAGTGTGATAAGCTGCTCATTATTGCAAAATAAACCCCTGAAAAGGCGATTCTATCTTTTATCAACCTGAAGGGGTTTATTTTACAGTAATGGGCAGCTTAGTTAGTGAAAATTGGTGTCTTTTTTCATAATGTCGGTCATAGGTTTGTTGTAGCCTGTCTTAATTGGTGTTTGTTTCTGTTTTAATATCCCCTTCTTAGTGGTTCACCTTGAAGGACACCCCTACAGGACGGGTTCATCTCAGACTTGAGTGGCTGACACTAGAAGCAGACACAGAAAGACTGGAAGAGGTAACACCGTACATACACAGAGCATAGAGGGTTTTGATGGAAAAGGGTGTGCTCTGTTCAACGCACATGCAAACAGTGTTCCTCTACTCCACCCGTTAACCAATCCCAGTTTAGAGATCAAAAGCTTACTTCGCTTGGCAAACAGAGTGATTTCAAACAGGATTTCTTGCAGTTGGTTCGCCCCTCCCTCCCTCGATTGCCCTCCATTTCTCTCTCTCTCTCTCTCCCTCTCTCAGGTTCTGAAGAGAAATGAAAATGTGGTGAGTCAAACAGCAAAGCCTCCCTCAGCAGCCATCTTGGCAGTGTATCTGGACAAGGCTGAGGCACTTCCTGTGAGTAATACTCTCACATCCTCTTCCTGCTGCACTCTTTGTTCTAACACACACACACCACACTATAATTTGGGCACAAAATTCTCCCCACAGGTGTCCTAAATCTGGCTTGCTTTTGGTGATCTGGGCATTTCATCGATTGGAAAAATTATTCTTAAACGAAATTTTGCTTTTTTGAAAAAATAAAATTATATAATGCTCTTATAATTAGCTTTATATGACAACAAAAGAAGTTTAAGACTGCATTTATTTGCTCAAAAAAAAATATGATGAAATATCTGTACAATTTCAAATAACCATTTTGTATTTTAATGTAAATTAATCTGTAATTTATTGCTGTGATGCAAAGCTGAATTTTCAGCATCATTACTCCAGTCTTCAGTGTCACATGATCCTTCAGAAATCATTTTAATATGCTGATTTGCTGCTCGAGAAACATTTCTTATTATTATCAATGCTAAATACAGCTCATATGCTGCTTCATATTTTTATGGATACTGTGATAAATTTTTTTTTTTTCAGGATTTTTTTGCTGACTAGAAAGTTCAAAAGAACAGCGTTTATTTAAAGGGGTGCTATTATGCTTTTTCACTTTTTCAGCTTTAGTTAGTC